AAAGGTATTGGAAAATGATGTTTCTAGTTAATTAACTTAATACTAACTTAAGAAATCGTTTTTTTCATAGAGAAGTACATTTGTATGATCCACAGCCTTAGAAGACATGTGGGAGTTTATGTTTCCGTGGACATTCTCTATCGTTCAATGGTCAAGCAAATGTATATGTTTGTGTTTTTATCAGTTCTGGCTTTACTTGTATTCCAACGTAAGTAGCCACCAAAAATCATTTATATAACGGAGAGAGGGGAATCACGCAAAAATGAACTTTGAGGTCTACATCCACATGAGCTTCTCCCTCTTTTGGTCAATTTTGCTGAATTTGTAATAGAGTTCATATTGTAGACTGACTTGCCTCGAAGGTTATAGGGGTAACTTATTTTTGATTCAAATTTACTTAAAATGGGTTCATAACAGTGCATTGAGAAACTTAGTGCCATCACATACTCCATACAGTACAGAGTCGTGGGCAGATGGAGAGAGATGATTGAACCAGCATCTACTACATCAACATGCCTATAAAGTCAGAGTTTTGAGATACTTGAGTGTACTTGTAGATATTTTCATCTCTAAAATAAAGTGAATGAGCTGGGTGCTGGTGGCTCACACCTGTAATCCTAGCTACTCAGGAGGCTGAGATGTGAGGATCATGGTTCAAAGCCAGCCCAGGCAAGGAAAGTCCATGAGACTCTTATCTCCAATAAACCACTAGAAAACCAGAAGTGTCACTGTGGCTCAAGTGGTAGAGTGCTCACCTTGAGCTGAAGAGCTACGGGATAGCACCCAAGTCCAGAGTTCAAGCCCCACGACCGGCCAAAAAAAGAAAGAGAAATGTTTTATAACACAAAATAATGTTTTATTTTAAACCTGGTATACTTATGATATTTCCCCCCAACATTTTCTTCCAAAGTCTCTATTTAAGTGACTATTTAATAAAAATAATTTATATACCAGTATTCTTTAAAACAATGGTTTAGGGTCAAAAATTTATAGTGACAAATTTCTTAAAGCTACCTTGGATTCACAGCTGTACCCCTCACTAAATGTGCGACGAATAATTTTGATTCAGGTTCATTCAGAGTACTAATCTAAATGACCTTAGATGTCTGATCGAGAGCTAGAATAAATGAGCCCTGGAAAAACCACAGGGAAGAGCATGGACTCTAGAGGAAACTCAAAGGAATAGGAATAGGAGATGAGGAAGAAGGGAAGGAAGTGGAAGAAGTGAAGGGGGAAAATGTGAAAGAAGGAGAAAAAGAGGAGGAGGAGGAGGTGGCAAGGAAGAGCAAGAGGTAGTGGCTTCTCACACTGAGCTGTGGAGGAGAGAGAAATCGGAGGAAAGAAGGAAGAGAAAGAAAGAAAGGAAGAGAAGGCTTATCAAAGGATGAAAAGGGAATGGGTTGTGGAGGCGGAAGGGAAGGGAATCCACAAAGGAGGAGCAGGAAGAGAGAGAAAACAAGAGGAGGGACAGGAGGAAAAACAAGAGGAAGAAGAAGAAAGGAGCAGTGGAATGGAGTATGCCTAGAGGCAGAAGTGAGAGGAAAATGCACAGGAAAGCTGTGTAAACTTCCCTAGAGTTTCATATTCCCCTACAACTGGTGTTTGAATAATTGATCTAAAACTCCTCTGACCAGAGGGCCTGGCTTCTCTCCTTGTTTCAGGCAGCAGAGGTGGAGACATGATACAATTGTGGAAACCATTCCTCATTTTCACTGTGAGATAGTACACATGGTCCTGTGTGGTGGCCATTAAGCTTTTGAATTATGTCTGAGACTGAAGATCTAAATTTTTAATTTAATTTGAATAGTCACATGGTTTCCACAATTGTATCATGTTCTTTGGGACACTGTTCTGACAGAGATTCTGTAAGAAATAGACTGAATCAGACAACTAATGCTTACTAAACTTCATGTGAGTTCGGAACATGTTTGTACCTTTGTTAGGTGACTTGTAGGTGATACTACAGAGTGTTGTCGTTTTTTCACGAATATAAGGTGGTTTCTAATCTGGCGATGATTAGGTCAGCTAATCCTGAACACATAAAGAGAGAACCTGGGGATTTGGCCAGGGAGCCCTGAACTGCAGCTTCACAGACTTGTGAGGGACTGAAACTTAAGTACTTCAAGTACTTCAGAGTCATAGACCTCTCGAGATTCTGATACAAGATATGGACCTTCCTGTCATTTGATTATACAGATCATTCCAGACAGTCACAGCTTCCCCCCGCCCCACTGTCCCCGAAGGCCCCAAACTGTCCCATTGAGTGTGTAGAGAAGGCCCTTCATCTTTTCCTGAGTAAACCCCACTACCCAGGAGTCTCTCAACATGCCTTTAAGACGGTGGCTCAGTGATAGAGCACTTGCCTTGCATGCCTGAGGCCCTGGGTTCGATTCCTAAGCACCACATAAGCAAAAAGAAAAAAAGCCGGAAGTGGTGCTGTGGCTCAAGTGGTAGAGTGCTAGCCTTGAGCTGAAGAGCTGAGGGACAGCGCCCAGGCCCAGAGTTCAGG